AAGTAACAATGTAATATAACATTTATGTTTAAGTGATGTTTTCATGTTTAGTGGGGTACTCAAAAAAAGTTCTATGGATTTTCTTCAATCAGAATGCTAAATTTGTGTCTTCCTGTATATCGATTGAACTGATGAGACCTGTAATCTATTCACACTTTTTATGACTGCCTCCCAAATTTCAGAGCATTACCTCTCAAGGATTCTGAAATATTCAATAAAATCTGAAAAATAAAATTCCATTCATCGCCCTCTCGTGGCCCAACGGTGCATTTTCGTACAAAGGTAAGTTGGTCCTAATCGACCTATTTTGAACTCTGGTTCACCCTGTTGAATTTAATGTACGTTGTTCTGGGACACCCTGTATTGTAATCAATGGATTTAATGAACGTTTCTAGTTTTTAAAACAATTTTAGAACGTTTCTAGCCCTTGAAGATTTATCTATCAACATTGAGAACAAAAAGTACACTACTTACTTTTATGATAGTAAACGCTTTGTATAATCATCACATTGTGCTAAACGTTTGAAGCTGATTGCATTTTGATTACATTATGGGAAGGCTGAACAAATTGAATTAAATATGTTAGTGTATACACGCTAATTTTACTATGTTGACTTTATCTTGGTAGTAGTATTTGCTAATTGGGCTCTTAAATATTGACCAAAGTCGACAGCAGGATTCTTTTTTGCTCTTGATGCAATCTGTTTGATCAGTTTTGAAGTGCGGTTCGCAGGTAGCTCACGTTACCATTATGTTGGTCCAGTAATATTTTTTCGTTTATTTTTTTTTTGCTTTCGAATTGAAACGACTTCGGATGATTGTCATTGCATTGTTTACTGGTAAGGTTGGAGCAGTTACCATAGGCGGAACAGCGAGAGGGGACCAAGACAACACATATACAGGGTGCCCCGAAATTACATAGAAAGATTTCAACTTCAGATTCTTGGAACAAAAATAATAAAAAAGTGTATATGGTCATTTCAGTGAGGATGGGGGGGGGTTACGCAGTCATCTGAAAGCTAGTACGAGATGGAGGTTCTTTGTAAATATTTTCGGAACCCTTTTTGATAACCATTTTCTTCATTTAACTTAAACTTAAAGAAGAGAGATCTTCCCGTGGAAGTTACAACGTTACATGGTGAATCCAAAAATCAAAAATATCAAAATTTGTCATTGAATAATAACTAACACATAGGAGATATTAGATATTGTGTTTAAATTCAATGTGGGGGCGTATTTCAGCCAAGCCTGAATAATATAATATAGTCTAGTCACTTTTCCGAAAAATTGCCTAATTCTCGTTTTTGAAATTTTAACAATTTCAACAAACAAAAGTAGACCTTGAAAAACTGATTATTTCAGATTTGTCCACATTTCAGGACTTCGGATGATTGTCATTGCACATTGTTTACTGGTAAGGTTGGAGCAGTTACCATAGGCGGAACAGCGGAAGGGGACCAAGACAACACATATACAGAGGGTGCCCCGAAATTACATAAAAAGATTGCAACTGCAGATTCTTGGAACAAAAATAGTGTAAAAAGTTTATGCAGGGTCGCTGATATGTATAGAAACAGGAGAATATCTCGTTAACCTGTTTTTGGATTTCATAAATTTGGTTTGGTGAATACTTTCTAGAACATCATCATTTGAAGCATTTTGAAGATTTTCGAAATCTACAGGTCGATATGTATTCCAGCTCAGAAATTTGATATATCGTTCAATTTAGAGCCTTTTTTTGGCTCTCAATGTTCCACCAAAAAACCAACCGTTTTCGGAAAAAAGTAAACATATCCATTCTAAAAACATGTTTATTTTGCTCATATTATTCCGCATTGATTTCATTATTGGGCGAAATTCTTAGAAAATGCAATGAAATGTGCTAAAATTACAAACTGGATCAGTAGCGGGGATACAAAGGGTAGAAGGTCAAGGTTTTTCAGTTGAAGTTGGTTAAATTTTCTCCAACAATAAAATTTGAGCGAAAGAATTTAATATGTTTTAGAACGGATATGCTTCTATTTATTTCGAAAACGCTTCATTTCTCGAAAACAATTTAGGAGCAATAATAAATTTCTGTAAATTGAACAATTCACTTAATCTTGTAACTATATAGGAATAGGCTAGTCCCCCCTTTTTCGAAAAAAAAATGCCTCATATTGTTCTTGAAATTTTGACCCTATCAACAAACAAATTAAGTATGCCTTGAAAAACTGAATATTTCAGATTCAACTTTTGATTCACTAACTACCAATATTTGATTTGAACGAATACAGGGTGGTTCATAATTCCTGAAATATGAGTTTCATTAACACATCTCATGAAAGCTTCAGATCACTCCAGATATCCTAGTCAGTTATTATATAGGATGTCAATAGATAAAAAATTCAGCACCAGAGTTATTAATTGTTTTTAGAATTTATCTCGGAATCCATACAATTTTCGTAACAATATAAGAAAGCCAAAAAGTATTCAAATAAGAGAGGGAATTCAAATTAATATGTCTTATTGAAAGCAGAGACAGCACGCAAAAACATTCGAGAGGGTAGAATTGTATACAACCCCCTGTAGGTAAGCAAAAAACGCCTATAATAGCGAAGGAACATTTTCAGATATATTAATGAACACAAAAAATGGATATATACATAGTGTTTCATAATTGAATGCTGATCCTAAAGGGCGATTATCCTTGGATAATTTTAAGAAAAATTCTTCATGTGAACATAGGTCCGTAACAGCTTCGTTTCTGAGATACAGGATGTTGAAATTTAACAAAAAAATCAGTTTTTCCCCAATATCTCTGAAACCGCTCTGGCTTTTTCTTCATTACAAGAACTTAAAAATAGTTACCATAAAATTATTAAGATATTGCTTAGATCTGTTGGTTACCACAATTGTGAAATAATGACTAAGTAGAAATCGAATAGGGACAAGCAAATGAATGCATTTTATTTTCTAACTCAAAAACCGTTCGCCGGACGAAAAAAAGACAAGAGACCAGTTTTATGAGAAGATAGAGGATAATTAAAAAAATAATATTTATTTGGAAAAAAGACAGTGGCGTATCATTATTTTGATAAAAATATGACAGGGTATGTTAACAGGGACGCCACTGATGGAAATTAAGAAATCCTTCATTATGGAGCAAATGTATTTCTATTCATACTTGGCATGTACCAAAATTGAAGAAAAAAGCCAGAGCGGTTTCAGAGATATTGGGGAATAACTGATTTTTTTGTTAAATTTCAACATCCTGTATCTCAGAAACGAAGCTGTTAATGACCTATGTTCACATGAAGAATTTTTCTTGAAATCATCCAAGGATTATCGCCCTCTAGGATCAGCATTCAATTATGAAACACCCTGTATATATATAAAGAAATACATTGAGAATTCGCATTCTCCATGTGATGAGACTATCAATTCTTTCTCGGTTTATTCAACAGAAAAAACTACTTTATTCTTGGCTATATGCCACGAGGAATATTGAATTACATCTATTGAACACACACGATAAGAATTTGAAAACAAAATCTTCTGAAGTAGACAATTTGCATTCTCTTTCATATAAAGATATGCATATTATATAATTCTGAATATTCAACAGAAAACGACTACTTTCCTGGCTACTTGCCACGTCGAACATTGAATTATATCTGTTGTAGATGTAATTCAATATTCGTCGTGCCATATAGCCAGGAAAGTAGTTGTTTCCTGTTGAATAAACCGAGAAAGAATTGATATTTTCATCACATGGATAATGCGAATTCTCAATGTGTTTCTTTATACCGAGTGACCAGTTATATTCTGACCCATTTCAACTGCTCATATCTCCAAAACTATTCAAATTATCGTTGTGCGGTTTGGACTTCTCTATTTTGATATTCTTCAAGTTATTTGACTGGTTCACCTTCTCACCTGAACTTCCGGTTCTACCGGAAACAAACAAGCCATTATTCAGGTATAGGGCAACTTTGATAACATTGCATAATCTCATTAAACCATTCCACAAGCAGTAGTTGTTTCAAAGAGTTATAACTCTAATAGTTTTCTAGGAGAACATAACTTGTAATACAGTGTTAGATAGGGAAAAGACCAGTCTTTCTAAATGTGCAAAAATATACAGGGTGATTCAATGAAATAAAAAAGTTGTCCTATACCTGGATTATTGCTTGTTTGTTTCCGGTAGAACCGGAAGTTCAAGTGAGCAGATGAACACGTCAAAAAATACTTGAGAAACATCAAAATAGACTAGTCCAAACCGCACAACGATAACTTGAATGGTTTCAGAGATATGAGCATTTGAAATGGGTCAGAATATAACTGGTCACCCGGTATATATGTCAATTTTTTGTGTTCTTAAATATATCTTAGAATGTTCGTTTTCAATACTTTCACACAATCAAGGGGTTCAAACTTGAACGATGGAAACTTGTTATTTTTATAGACCTCAATCGCAGATTCGTGATTAGGTTTTTCTCAATTCAGAATTTCTTTCCACGTCCTGTATGATGAATGACAATTTATCATGCACACAAAAAAGCCTATAATAGCCCTGAATATTCATTCTCCACTTGTATATGTGTACCAAATTTCAATTCATTATTTTGAGAAGTGTTATAGAAAACTCAAGAATACATAAGAAAATCTATAACTTTGACAACTCGTTCGTACTTTCATCGGAAACGAAGCTCCATTTCAAAAATATGTGTTCTTCAAGCTGTTGAGGCCCTGATACAAAAAACTGACCCACTCTGTACTCTCATTTTTTCGTGAATAAATATTCGTTAACGTATCATTATCCAACCATGTATATGTATATTTTTATCTGCAATTCCTGTATGAATTGTTTCATGACTTGTCCCATAACTTGTATATAAGTTCTTTGGAAGTGGACCAATAAATCTATCTATCTATCTATCTAGTCACCAAAATGCTTGGTTTTACAGTTAACACAGAAAATGCCAAACTGAGAGGTCAGCACCTCTGATGCCAATAAAATGAATGAAACTTTCGTGAACATCAGTAGGATCTCACAAAATGAAACTCTGCTGCAGAACACTTCCGACAACTTCGTCTACCCTTACAACGAGAGACCAGAAACCTACGTGGTTCCTGTGATATTCTTGCTGATTTTTGTGATTGGTATCATTGGAAATGGAACCTTGGTCACCATCTTCATCAGGCACAAGAATATGCGCAATATTCCTAACACGTAAGTATGGGTTTGACACAAACGTTTAATGTTCTTAACATAGATATCGAACAACCGATCCACCCAGCGAGCACAAAAACATCTCAGAGATGTTAAAAGTACGAGATTTCGAGACATTGAACCTCCACTGCGATGTTCTGTTCACACATGAATAGAACTATTATAGAACAGCCAATGTCCGGCGCAGGCGGCAATTATCGAGATGTCATTGATATGTCACAAAACTACCTTCTCCCTAGTTCTTTTTAAAGCCTTTTCATGGACACAACAAAACATTTTCAACGCGTCTTGCGCACATCAAATCGCTGTAAAAAAAACATTTTCGAGGTACTTTTCTGAAGCCTTTTGTCAAAATGAACTTTTGTGTTAGGATTCCATTTTCCTTGAATGAAAAAAATGCATTAAAAATATAGATTGAACATAAGAATATTTTCTTGATATGAAATTACCTTCTTAATCGGTTTCTGAGTAGTGCTTACTACACACAGACATATAATTGGAAATAGGTTTCCCAATTTTTGAAATGTTCTCCACAATGCATAATTTTGCAACTGCCGAGAAGCTGTGTATTGATAAATTCGTACTTTTATATATTGATTACACTGAGGCACCGAACAACACATCTTGCATCTGATGGTCATTATTACAAACTAAATAAGTCTCCTAACACAATAAACTTCACCAAATTCCTTTCTGTTGGTTAGCAGCGTGATGTAAGCGTGACACGCTGCAAACGCGAATGCCAATTGCGAACAAGAAGAACAAAATCGAAAACAAGTCAGAATTCATCGTATTGTGACGTAAACATGAGACGTTGTGGTGGGGCAAACAAAGAAAGGGCACAAAAGAACAAAACCAATACTTTCAATATCCTTCTAAGACCTCTTTGGGAAGTGCATATTACGCCTCAAAAAAACATTCTCATGCCTCCATTTCTAAAACATCCCAAAACATCCCAGGGATACCTCTCAGTAGGCAAACAAAGAAATGCCACAGAAGAACAAAAACAATACTTCAATATCCTTCAAAGACCTCTTTGGTCAGTGCATATTACCTACTTCTCAAAATAACATCTTCATGCCAACATTTTCAAAACATCCCAAAACATCCCAGGGATGTTTGTGCTCGCTGGGCATGAGCCATTGTCGATCCATAGATTAACGACTTTTATCTATGGTCGATCTAAATGAAAACCTACTAGGCGGCCTAGTACGCGAGAAGGTACTATAACTATCTAACTACGTTGTCATATTCACCTTCTTCAATTGTTATTCCGGAATCGTAAATTGTAATTCAGATTTCTCAAAAGAAAATCAGAAAGTGTCAATTTAAATTCAGATTAGCTAATTGAAATTCAGAAACTATCAATTGCAATTCAGATCAGTCAAGTGAAATTCAGAAAACTTCAGTTGTTAATCAGATTTTTCAATTGGATTTAGATAGCCTCAATTGAAATTCGGATATCGTCATTTGTAATTCAGAATGCAACAATTTTTATCAGAGAACTTCAATTGTAATTCAGATCAGTCAAATGAAAATCAGAAAGCATCAATTGAGATTCAGATATCTTCAATTGTTATTGAGAATGTGTCAATTGTAATTCAGACTGATGGATTTATGAAGGTATTCATGTAGAACCAGCGACTTCAGAATTATGGAATTATTTTCATTGATGGTCAATTGAAATCAATTTCAATAGGTAAAATGAAGAAGTCATATCTAGAAAACGTTATTTCTGAAAAAACTATTGCTTTTTAATGATATGTTGCTGGTTCTCGCGGGCGTTACAAAAACTCTAGCGATACAAATTTAGCGATAACTATTCAGTACCTAAGGTGAGCACTTAACGCCTTTTACCAACTCAACGAAACGATTTTGGATATAGGTAAGTTGGTTAAAATCAACTTATTTATATCCCAGGAGTCTACAGTCAAGCCATGACCCAACCAGATTATGTTTTTAAAAAATGCATAAGATGCCTCAGATCAGAAATTATTAATTTGCAAATGAACCTCGAGACTTATCAAAAATTAACATGATACAAAAAATATTTCTGAAGGGAATATCTTTCTGGGAAAAAATTACTGGAAGTTTCCAGTCCGACCTCTGAAAAGTTATCACCAAATTTGTACGGCAACATGGTTGTTTGAAACACTTGCAAGTCACTGATGATGATCAAAAACATCTCAAAACGTGACTTACAGTCACAGAACATGCTATGCCAAAAATTATGAAAATCGATTATCAGCCTACTCTTTTTATAAGCAAAATTATTTCTTTCCAAAAAAACTTCAACACCTTGTACCAACTCAACCAGATGATTTTGGATATAGGTAAGTTGGCCTGATTGTTCCAACCTTTTACAGACACCCTGTATATACGAAAAAAAAACATATCTATTCACTGCATCGGAACACAATAAACCTACCTGTCAATTTACTCCAACGAAAAGAAAAGAGAATACCTTCCGTAGGAGGTAAAATGAATTGGCTTTAGCTCGCATCCTTAGTAGAGATACTTGGTAGAGTACTGGTAGAGTACTTGGGTAGTACCTTATCAGTGTCTCCATCACTACTATAAAACAAACAACAATTTCATTTTTTAACTGCAATGATCTCATACAATTCCTCATATTCCAAACTAACTCAACTTTCGACATTTGTCGAAATGATCAACATAGACAATAAATTCCTTGTGTTAGAAAACTGGGATTAAAATCGTGTCAGAAACTTGGAAAGGCGAACCCGTTAACGGAAAATCTTCGATGAAATCCATATTTTCGATTTAAATGCAGATTCCGTGAGTTATAGCATGAATGCACGGCAGTGTATGTTTGGTTGCCTATAAAACAATCGTGCATTAATAGACAAATCGTTCATTAATAGGGGTCATTGATGAACGATTTCATATACATTAATAAACCTTACGAGGTCGACGGAAAACAAATTAAATGTTACAGAAGTGTCAAATCAATTTTTGTTCAGAATCAAATACCGTCTGCAATTTTAAGAACGACGCTCTCAAATATATGCGTTCGTGGATAAAATTGAGAAAATAAGGTTCATTTCCTCCTATGTGTGTTCAACAAGCGGGAGGAAATCAATACCTTTGCTCCTTTGATATATAAATAGCTATTTTGTGCATGGCCTTTTTAAGATACATCATGTCGTTGGCGCTAGCAGACCTTCTGGTACTGCTGACCAGCGTACCCTTCACCTCCGTCATATACACCATGGACTCGTGGCCTTGGGGAGCAACGATCTGCAAAATTTCGGAAACTGCCAAGGACGTATCGGTCGCAGTGTCCGTGTTCACCCTCACAGCCCTGTCAGCAGATCGCTTCTTCGCTATAGTCGATCCACTCAAGAGGTTTCACACCAGTGGTAAGATTTTTTTTATCTTTTGGAGTGCAAGAAACGGAATCCCTAGATTGGATTTTGAATGGGGCATTCGGGCTACCTGCCATACCGCGACCTCTCCAGATCTATTGGGTCTGCTCTGAAAATCGTTTAGGCCCGTACTTATAGTTCTTTCCTCAAGAACTCCTCAAGTCTTCCTAATCTGAGGATTCCTTGAGGACTCCTCAGCACTTAACGTAGAACTTGTTTTATATGGGTTGCGTACAAGAACTGTCAGATGAACGACCCTGGAGGTGAAACAGTGTAACACAACCTCACCTTTCTTATTTGTTTACAAATGATTGAAATAGTTTTTCACAATTATTTTGGCATACGAATCGTGATTTTCGGCTATTCATTGATTTGCACATTGCTGTTGTACAAGGCACAAAAAATGCAGCGAGAGACGAAGGAATCCGGTTGGTACATTAGGATTCAGAAGTAAGTTTTTTTTATCGCTTGAGGCGCACGGAAGAAAATTCCTATAATGTTCAAAGAACATCGTGCGTTCCTAGGGAGGATAGGGACAGGAGGTAGGTATTGGAATCCTTTTTGAACTTCTGGAGATTATATGTTGTTGGGAATACTTCCTCAGGCAATGAATTCCAGAGCCTAGCCGTCCTATGGATGGAGTAGTTTTGATAAAGTGCTGTTCGACATCTTTCGAGGTTGACAACGAAAGGATGTGCTGACTGGGCTTGTCTAGTTCGTCCGACTGGTATTGCTAGTGAAGGAATGATAGCAGAGATTCCCGAAGAACATTTCCCGTGGAAGCATCGATAGAAAAGTGAAAGGTCGCCGACCTTGTAACGGTGTTCCAAAATGATGTCAAAGAGTGAGTGAGTGTGGCGTCACCCACCAGGCGAATGGCTCTTCTCTGGATGGAATCTAAGAGCATCGGCGTATGTTTTGGTGCTGTAGTCACTCACATATAGTTTTCATTTCGAAATTTGGTAATTTCTCTGATTTCTCATCGGAATTCCTTCTGCAATAGGAGCTAATAGAAATACTCGTGGAATTTCTGAAAGAATGCAACAAGATTGGATTCATGCAATCAAATGAGAGGACCTGGTCTGACATGCTGACGAAATATGATCGTGTGTGTTGCAGACATTTTCAATCTATTAGCAGTATTAGCTTCTATTGCAGAAGTGGCAGAAGAGATTTCAATAAGAAATGACAACATATCATAATGAAAACTATGTGAGTTTACTATTCACCTGAAAAATCATATTCCTTCGTCTCTCACTGCATTTTTTGTGCATTTCACAGCACAATGAGAAGGCATGCTTGAATTATTGAAAAGCACAAAAAAACATGATTCGTATGCCAACATATTGTGACAAACTATCCCAATCCTCTGATTCCTCTGTAGACAAATGAAAAAAGTGAGGTTGTCTTTCAATGGTTTTCTGTTTCGGGCCAGGAGCTAATTCACTTCCAGTCAGCTGCGCATGATCTATAAGGCACAGATCCGACCTGTCCTGGAATACTGTTTCCTTATTTGGAGTGCAGCAATCAAACATACCCTGAAAATGTTGGATTCTGTCCAAAAAAGGGCAATTCGTCTCGTGGTTGATGCCTCGTTCACAAGCTCACTCACTTCTCTGGAACACCGTAGAAAAGTTGGCGATCTGGCTCTATTTCATAGATATTTTCATAGACGATGCTCTTCTGAAATATCAACAATTGTACCTCCCTTGGCAGTCCTCGCGAGATTAACCCGTCGAGTTGAGGCTTCGCACCCCTTTGTGGTCACTTTTGGGACCTACAGAACATCTCTTTCCAAATACTCGTTATTCATCCAACGAACAGCGAGGCACTGGAACACATTGCCAAGGGAGGTGTTCCCCGAGGCATATAAAATTTAGGGAGAACACCAATTCCTACCTTATTTCCCTTGGTTCTCACGATGTTCTCTGAACATTACAGGATATCCTTTTTCGTGGGAACTAGAACAAAATATATATACAGGGTGTTTCAGATTTAAATGTACATACGATACCTGTAGATAGAGGACACTTTGGTGGTTCCAAATCACCCCTATTATTGTGTTTTCTGTCTCTTATAACTGAGATACAGGACGTTATCTTGATTTTGGCAAAATCTTTATGTGGTCATAACTTTTGAATCACTTTGTATAATCCATTCATACTTGGTAGGGATATTCTACCCATGTTACACAATGGAACTAATTGGAAATTGAAATCAGAATCCAGGTCCGTCTTCAGGAAAAACCAAATATTCATTATATTCAAAAAACAACACCCTGTATATCAAATATTTGTAGATCTGGTTCGATATCTGGAAAGAGCGGAAAAAACTTCATTAAATGATCTACTCTTTACCAGTGCGCATCCAATTTGACATGTGTTACCAGTGGCCACAAATCAATTTATTTTAGTAATCATATCGATTTTGAGGCATTTATTGATCAAACATCCAATTTGAATATAAAAAAAATTGTCTCAGATTGTAACTCCATAGCTGTTGAATCAAAGTTGAACTTCCAATGAATTTCTACATTGATAGAATATTTTTTCAATAATTATACATATTTTTGATTGCCCGTTTCTCACTAAATACATTCATTAGATGCGGTTAAGTAGGCTTTGCAAACAATTCTAAAATCAAGACAGAAAGTGAATAAACAATAATGTGACATTGTTGGTAACATCAAGATAACTCTTGGTCATTGTATTGGATTGTCACATTTCAAAGTTTTCATAAGTAATTATGCCTTATGAATTTTCGAACTCTGAGTATGCAGATATGATGTATGTGTATGGATTTTGTGATGGCAATGGGCGAGCTGCTGCAAGAGAGTATCGAAGATTTCCTGTGGACCTCATCCCTGGCCTCCAAGATCACCAGATCTCAATCCCATTGATTATTTTCTTTGGGGTCACTTGAAATCAAAGGTATATGACGTACAAATTGAAACACGAGAACAACTTTTGGAACGCATGAATAACTCATGCGAAGAAATAAGAAATCATCCGGACGTTATTAGAAAGGCAATTAGTGAAATAATTAACAGATCCAGGATATGCATACAGCAGAATGGTGGCCATTTTGAAGAAGCTATTGTAGTTTTCACGTAACTTTCCGTTTAGTTTTGATTGATGAATGGATTATACAAAGTGATTCAAAAGTTATGACCACATAAAGATTTTGCCAAAATCAAGATAACGTCCTGTATCTCAGTTATAAAAGACAGTAGACACAATAATAGGGGGTGATTTGGAACCACCTAAGTGTCCTCTATCTACAGGTATCGTATGTACATTTAAATCTGAAACACCCTGTATATATATATATATTACCTCCCAGGGTCGGTAATCGTGCACGCGACCTATATCCCCCTTGAATAATCCTTCTATAAGGATTCCTCACACTTGACAACAGTGTATAATATCATTGTTCTGAGACCAAAATTTTTTGTTCCATGTCACGTGTTTGTCACAAAATGAAAAATGTCAAATTTGCTAAAAAAACTCAAACTTTCACTATGGACATCGAAACGTAAGTATAATAAATAATAATCCAGTGATAATTGGGCCTGAGATATAGGGTCTGACAACATATTTTTTCGATCATATATCAGAAGATTAACAGACAATAAATATCCAAGGTTCCGTAAAATAACGAAGAGGTCGAAGAGTTTATACAAAATTACTCTTTCAAGAACTTTGTTCAAGCTGCAATGAAATAATATGCCGGTAATATCATCCATTTTCCATTGAATACTTTGTATAAATCTGCAAATTTGTGTGGTTGTTCATTGAAAATGTATATCAATTGCATAAATATATTATCAAGATTATATCTATATAATTGTAAATTATGCAGTTTCCATTATTTCTATTATTTTAGATGACTAAATATCCACCTTTCAACGATAAACTTGAATACCTATATCTATATCGGCTTCTACTGAAAATCGATATACTCGAATCAGTTTCTGTGTACAAATTTCAAGATTTAAATAATATTCGTTTGATTACAACACTCAGTATAATCCTATTCCATTCATGATCAAAATCCATCAGAAAAGCGTTCCAGACCAAACACTATCCAAATTGAAATTCATATTCATAATATAACCTGATATCGCTGATATAACACTAGAAATTGGATCAAGGAATGCTCAAGGAACATCTTCACCTTCCTTGGAATTGACATTTCCTTGAGGCTTCCTTCGAGCTCATATATCGACTATAAATTGGAAACTGGTCCTCAAGGATGCCTTGAGGGACGAAGTTGCCTTAAGGAGCGACTATAAATATGGGCCTTTGGCTATAGCCCTGCCTTCTCAATGAGTCTCCATATAGGCTAGCTTTCAGATCCACTTGGACTCTTGATTTTTTCTCTCCCAGCGTAAGGAAGAACCTTATATAGTCCTGACAAACCCGCACTGTAGAAAAATATGTGTACTGCTGTTTCCTCCTCTTCCTGACAGAACCTGCACAGCAAATCTTCAGCCAGCCCAATCGTACACATGCCTTTGTTGAGCCTACAATGCCCTATGAGAAGTTTCATGCACTTATATTCTAATTGCACTTCGTTTCTGGCTCAGTAGATAAGTATTCTGTGAATGTTGATGATGGTTTTTAGATAAACTCCTTCGCCTGTCTCTTGAGATTTGGTTTGCATCTATGATTTGATGATTGTCTTTTTGTATAGCTCTCGCAATACCACAAAAAAGTTCTGGACCATTCAGAGGTTTATTTGCTCCTGCTCGGGCAAGTGAGTCTGCCTTTTCGTTACCATATCGTACCCTGTATGTCAGTGTATGTGCTGGTTCCCATGCAAGAGTCAGTCTGTTCTGACTGCCCAGTTCATTCAGGGATTTTAAGTCCCAGACTAGTTTTGAGTTAACTTGTATTGAGTTGACTGCCTTGATTACCAATAGGGAGGTAAGGGAGAGGAGGTAGGTATTGGAAACATCCTTTTTTTCAACTTTTGAGGATCACAAAGTTCTT